GTCAACTCCACTTCAGTGCATGCGTGCCACGACACAGCAAGCCCGGTCTAAGCGTCGCAGTTGCTGCTGTGGATGTGACGATGCCTACCAGTCGCTTCAGGCACGGAGACAAACCCCTTTTTCCAGCCGAAGTGCTGCGGACGACGGCTATGACATGTTCGGGGATGGATTCCGCCTCCCTACAGATTTGCCGCTTAACGAGGCTCAACGTCAAGCAACGATTAGTGCGATGACCAACCGTCTGACTCTCGTTCAGGGTAAGCTGCGACTGCGTTTTTGCTACCGGCGGTGGGGGAGGAGCTTTTTTCGAAGCCTTTTTTGTGTAAATGTCTCTCCTTCATTCAGGACCTCCTGGCACGGGAAAGACGCATGTGGCTTGCGCCATCATTGACGCATGGCAGCGCATCAACCCGACAAAGAAGATTCTTGCTGTCGCAGACTCAAATGTGGCTGGTTTGTCAGAATTGCCCTTTTGCACCTAGAAACCCTTTGTCTGGAGTTGAATTCAGACCTTCGCGATGCGCACATATTTATGCAATCGGAGNTCTCCTGGAACGCATCTGGTGCATGCGTACAGCGGACAATCTCATGGAGGGGCTTAGCAATCGAGGCATTCGCAGTGTCCGTGTAGGTAGCGGAAGCGAATCGGACTTGAAGGAGGAGTCAATTCAAGGTACTTCGCAGTTTTTTGTCCTTTCGGTTGTGGCTGATGCCCCCGCGTGTAGAATATGCAGGTGCACGCGGATGCTCGTAGCACGAGATAACATCTCCTCATTGAGTTGGTTGTTGCCAATCTCCCTTCAGACCTTCCTCGATACCGTGACCTTCTGCGAATGCGAGACACCAATTCTGGAGAGGCCCGAAGTCTCCGCATGCTTCTTGTTCGAGAAGCTGTCCGCAAGTACAATGTGATTATCGCTACTTGTGTGGGCAGTGGGCACGAGATGTTCGACGACGTGACTTTCGAAAGGGTTATTATTGATGAATGCGCTCAGTCGATTGGTGCGTCTGTTACTGGCGCTCCCTCTTCGATGCCGGAAGAGCACTGTGCTTGAAGCGCCTCCCGTTGCACGTGGATTTTGCAACGCCTCTCCGCTTGTGATACGCTCTGCAGAACCTTCCAACCTGATCCCGCTAGGTCATGGTTGCCGCTCGGTGGTCCTCATCGGCGATCACAAACAACTTCCACCGACAATCGTATCAAGGGAGGCTAGTGAAGGCGGGTATGACTCCGCGTCTCAGAACAGGCATATGCAGGGTCAATGTTTTCGACGGGCTTTTTCAGCCACTGAGCATTGGTGTTTGTGTATTAATTTGTCTTTTGGTGGACAGGCTTGGCGTTTCGCTTCTTGAAAGATTCGTTGGCAGCGGCATCGCGCCGATCCACCTGCTAAATGAGCAACGTCGTATGCACCCGAGCATCGCGCACTTTCCCAACATGCAGTTCTACCAAGGGAAGATTTTCAGCCGAGGTGGGGTCACCCTGTAGTGTAGACTTACAAGCAGGCATTTGAGAGTGATATACGCTGCAGTAGAGTCTGGACGCCCGACCACAAACCCAAAGCCATGAGTTTTTACGTGGGCATGACGTGGTTGATAGTTTCCGCAGGAGCGTCTTAATGGTGATAGGTGAAGGTGCTTTACNTTACGTGGGCATGACGTGGTTGATAGTTTCCGCAGGAGCGTCTTAATGGTGATAGGTGAAGGTGCTTTACACTTCCCGTTCTTGTATGCCGCATGGTGCCTTGTATGGTGGTGTAAATGTGATGCAGACGTGGATGACTGCAACCGGCCTCCAGTCGCAGGTTTCCTATGGCCATCGCCGCACAGTCGCGTCTGTCTGATTGACATCTCTGCTGGGCTTGCGAACATGGAGCAGTCCTTGGGGACGTCGAAGTACAGTCTTGTGTAAGCTTCTACTTAGCCATATCTTGCACCGCTTGTTGATGTTGCTTCTTATGGACCGTTTGGGTTCGTTAGCAGTACTGAAAGAGCAGCAAGTGCTTCCGTTGTGCGTGCGGGGGACTGGCCGGCGATAGGGCTGTGGCTAGACGGAGCTGTAGGAACTGCCTCCAAGGGAAGCAGTTATCCCCAGGCTCGAATGTTGTTTGACACTGCATTTCAGGGAGATCGACCCAATCTTGGCGATACTGCGATCGGTACTGCAGTGCGGGACAATCCGTCCGAGCGAAATCGGCATCTTAACTCCGTACGATGCACAGAAGGCACGAATTCGCTTCGCCTTGAACGACTCTTTCGTGAGTAACACGGCAGGGCGGCAACCTCTGGCCGTTACTTTCTTAGTTGCGCCGTGGCTGGCCCCTGCGCTGTCATGGGGGTTGCCACATATGACTTTGCCGCAGCTTATACTGTGGGGTTGTTGGCCTGTAGTCTACTGGGGTCCGCACATTTGTAGCACACAGCCCAGGGTGGGCAAGTAGGAAAGGTTACGTTGGCATTTCTTGCTACTCGTTGCAACAGTATTGTTCGTCTCCATTTGCTTGGCGCTTTCAGGATAAGGCGCTGTGCTACCAGATTGACGTTGACTCGGTTGATGGGTTCCAGGGCAAAGAAAAGGACCTTATCATCTTTAGTGCAGTTCGGTCCAACCCAAGAGGGGAAATCGGCTTCTTAAAAGATGCGCGCCGGCTGAATGTTATGCTAACGCGTGCTAGAAGGGGCCTCCTGGTTGTTGGAGACCAGTTGTCTCTGTGGTAAGTCACGTTCCAGCTCAGATAATATTGATATTATGTTTTGTACTGTTCACCATATCTCCTTGTTTTACTAGTGGTCGTTACAGCTCGGATAATATTTATATTCTGCTTTGCACTTTTCCCCATATCTTCTTGTTTTACTAATGCGTTTGCCTTGCAGGGCTGATACGGTGAACNTGCTTTGCACTTTTCCCCATATCTTCTTGTTTTACTAATGCGTTTGCCTTGCAGGGCTGATACGGTGAACTGGAGACCATGGATTTCTTGGGTTGGTAGCCAGTAAGTCTGCTAGCGGCCGCCATCGCACCCGTGTTGTTGTGGATGCGCTTCTTAGTTGCACTTCGTCACGCAGTGCGCTATGTTGTCACCGCGTAGACAGGATGGATTAAGGCAGGCTTCGCTGCATAGGGCGTGCGGTAATGCTGAAACGCAGGAGGTCGATTGTTCCCATATCTCGCCTGAATGACTACCTTGAGGTTCCCACCTACAACTATAACCCCATAACGTCAGGAGCCGCTCGTGTGGGTGTAAGCGTGACTGGCACTGGGGGTGTCACCGCAGCCACCACGGGTGGAGGGGCCATAAAGACGGGTTATATGCCGCAAGGCTTCCAAGCAGATTTCGCGGGCGGTGGTGTGGGCCCACGCGGAGAGGGAGGGCGCGAAGCTGCACCCGAGCCAATGCATGTAAGCTGCACCGCCATTTGTACTTCAGTTTGTTGAGTATCTTTTGGTGTCGGGAAGTTTTTAGCGGTGCTGCAGCATTCTACTTTGCGTTGTGACCAGGAAGAAGAGGAAGTGCCGGAGGACTGGGAACAACATCTTTGAGGAACTTCTGCGGGTAGCGGGGAAATTGGTAGCGGTTTATCTCCCAGGGTGCTGTCCGGTTGGGATGCTAGGCCTCCAGGCCCTTGGTAATCATGGGCTGCCTCTGATCCGCTAGCTTGCACATGCCGCCAGCTAGACGAGAGTTGTCGGCATCATGGTTTGCAAAGGGCTCCTTTCTTGCGACAGCAGTTGATTCGGCGCTATTCGGAGACACTGTCGGCGTGTTGCATCTGCATCACTGGCCGGTTGCCCGGGCGTGTGCTCGCCTGCGAACTAAGCAATGAGCACAGATGAGTGGTCCTGCAGAGTTTGATGATTGACGTATTCTCAGGGGGTGGTTCGCCTGCTACACTAGAGGCTGTTGGCGAGCTGCTGTTTAGACGGCCCCACCCAAGTGGCAAATGACGATGTACATGACATCGCAGAAAACAAGTGACCGTTGGGCTGTTATGGGCTTCATCTGCCCTGATGAGTCGTCCTTCGCAATGCGCGTTGCAGCGTCGCTCTAGCCCCTAGATGAAATACATTTTTAAGATTTAAGAAACATTTCGACACCACTTCGTGCCGTTTTTACATCCTTTCCAAGACGTAGTAACCAAGGGTTAGCATATTGTATCTAGGATTCCCACCTCTAGACCGAGGAAAAGCCTTTTCATTCTCGTGTGAACCCGATCCGGTGGAAACCGGACTTTAACTGGCAGGAATTTGGGTACGCCTATTGAGTGACGACTTGGCAAAGTTCTAGAGGGACAGATTAATTGTTTTCAGAGTAGGAGTGTGCTGAAGCCGTCTCTTAGTTGTAGTTGAGTTATGATGATTACGGCTCGAAAAACTTGATATAAAGGGCGCTTCCAGGCGCCCACCGAGCACTTCCCAGGTCTGCCAGGTACGGCGACGGGAAACCGCGCTGAGGCATTCTGCCCAATTGCAGATGCAGATAAAACGCGTCTCTGCAGTCCTAAATCAACAAGAAAGACACTCGGTGCGCAGAGACCAGGTGCATCCGTGCATCTATGGCGCCATCTACTGCTCATTTCCCAGCCTGTCGGCTTAATTACACCTCAGGGGGAGTGAGACACAGTTAGTTTGAAGACTTGGATAAGCCTCTACTGTTGCTCCCTTTGTGTTGTATTTGACGGGAGGGACGTGGGAGTTTCCATTGCGGAATCCCCAGTGTGCAATTGTACTCAACAACTACGGTTACATTATACTCGCAGTGCACCCCCCGTCACAGTAGTGCAAGTCAAGACAATGACTAGGATCCAGTCCCCTTTTGACTGGGCAGAATGCTAGAGACTTGTTCATGCTTCCATTTTGGTTAGTTATGGGGATTAAACATTCATCTAAGCCTTGAAATGGCTCA